CCTTTCTGGAAGATACAAGCCTCCTTCTCCCTTTTCCATTATCCCTACCACTGCAATTTCTCTCTGTGTCCTTCTCCTTCTTCTCCTTCTCCTTCTTCTTCTTCTTCTTCTCTCTCTCTCTCTCTCTCTCTCTCTTCTTCTTCTTCTTCTTCTTCTTCTTCTTCTTCTTCTTCTTCTTCTTCTTCTTCTTCTTCTTCTTCTTCTTCTTCTTCTTCTTCTTCTTCTTCTTGGACATGAATGTTGTGGTGACCCAAACATGACCGATAACCCTATATCTTTCTTCAAGCCCAACACTGAATATGTGCTGCTGAACAACGAATTTTCCCTGGACCCCAACAACCCACTGTGTGACCCAGCCACCATTTCCATTCGTGCTAGATACGACAGTGAGTCCTTAAAAAGCCGACAGTTTATTTTTGTACTTGAGTTTCGAGTTGGCCTTCTTTATAATAACAATTGTGTATAAGTCTTCTTCTTCTTCTTCTTCTTCTTCTTCTTCTTCTTCTTCTTCTTCTTCTTCTTTTTCTTCTTCTTCCTACATTCACAAAACACCCTATGCCTTTCATTCTGTTTCTATAGTATATAGGCTTCTTTATGCCACATTATCCACAAACCAAATAAATCTATTTTAGTGTGGTCCTGTATGTCTCCCCTACCCCTCCATCCTCCACTCCCCCTTTCTCAACATTAATTAATTGTTTTTGCCCCTCCTTTAAATTTGTGCTTTTTCCGAAACATAAAGCAAAAACTACTCTTTGTTGTTGTTCTTTTGCTTTTGACACCGACCCCCCCCCCCCCCTTTTACTCACCGTTTAAAAAAGAAGAAAGACCCCCAATCCCCTCTGGTCTTTTTTTTATTATTACTCTTGTTTCGTTTTTGTTTTTAAAGAAGAAGAATTGTAGTTACGCCTATCATTTTTGCTTATTTCCAGATATCATCAATGGAGCTCGAAGCTGGACCTTCCAGATTTCTGCTACTGGAGAATTAAACAATGTTGCCCAAGGAAGTGCCACAATCACTGGAGATGTAAGTGGTGGCTCTCAATATTTATCTCTCTCTCTCTGTTTGTCTCTCTCTCTGTGTCTTTTTGTCTGTCTATCTGTCTGTCAGTCTCGCTGTGCATTTCGAGAACGGGTGTCTTCAAAAAGACCATCCCATACAGCTAGTTCTTAATTTTTTTTCCAAATTGTTTTTTAAGTAAAAAACCATCATCTGTCTTGAAAAGAAGTCAAGATATTTGCATTTGGAGGGGGTGCCTGAAGCTTGACGTTAGAAGTTAGCGAGAAAATGGCCGCTAAAGTTTGGCTACTTAGGGTGGGGTGTGGTGGTAAGGAAGTCATTTTTTGCCTCTAAAAAGTTACCCTGTACATCCATGTACTTTTTTCCAACAGCTCACAGACTACTTCAGGATTGAATACCGTTTCTCTGGAACCCTGAGCGGAACCATCACCAACAGGGGAATCAACGCAAACCAGAACGTCAGAAGTTCAACCATCACCTCTTCCACTAACATTGGAGGTAATAAAACTGTTGTTGTCGTTGCTGTCGTCGTTGTTGTTGTTGTTATTGTTGTTGCTGTTGTAACTGTTGTTGCTGTTTTTGTTGTTGTTGTGTTGTTGTTGTTGTTGTTGTTGTTGTTGTTATTGTTGTTGCTGTTGTAACTGTCGTTGCTGTCGTCGTTGTTGTTATTGTTATTGTTGTTGTTGTTGTTGTTATTGTTGCTGTTGTAACTGTTGTTGTTTTTGTTGCTGTTGTTGCTGCTGTTGCTGTTGTGTTGTTTTTGCTGTGGTTGCTATTGTTGATAACTTTGTAATTATTGCTGTTGACGTCATTGTCGTTTTTGTTGTTGTTGTTGCTATTGTATTAAATATCAAATTTTGATGTTGTATTATTGTTGCTGTTTTTGTTGTTGTTGCTGTAGTCATTGTAGATAATATTATTATAGATATTTTAATCATTATTGTTGGTGCTCCTCTTTCAAATTCACAGGGACTGTTTGAATATGAAATTTTGCATAAAGATTTTTCAAAGTTTTACATTGGTTTCGTCCGGTGCAATTGGAGAATGCAATATCACTCAAATAGTTGAGATAGTTGAAAGCTATGATTTTGGTGTGCCTTGGCAGTGTTGAGGGTATTATGACAATGGGGGGGGAGGTGCAGGGGG